TTTTTCTAGACGACATTGTTTCCTCTTCTCTAATCTACAACATAATGTTTATGGAATGGGCATGAAGATTGTGTTCCAATAGGAACATGGAGTGTTGGATATATTTGCTTATCAAAATTGATACATCACCCTGTATGTAGTTGTTCACAGACGAAATTGTGTTTCTATGGAATCACATTAAAAAGAAAAGTACAACCTGGTTTTCCTGTATGGGTCTTGACAACGTTTTTGTTTTTGGAATGTGTTTGTTCTTCTACCCAAGTGAAGAGGCTTATATACGACAAACCAAGGAAAATGCATCCTACAATGCATTAATGATATAAAGGACACCTTCTCAAGTTTCAAATGATGACCCGGCACTTTTGGTAGGGGAGGAATATACTTTTCATCAAGGGAAAGTTCTATAAAGCATAGTTTCTATGTGCATGTCAGCTTTTTGACAAGTTACTGAAAGTCATTTTATAACATTTGACTGTGTTGCTTGCATAGTGCAATTTCTGTGTTTAGTGGTCATTTTTGTTTTTGGAAGCGGGGAAACAGCTCGAAGGCTCTATAACTGAACGATCCCTACTGCTGATGCGTGCATATTTTAATCTTTAACTAGGTTTATAGCTATACTTGGTTTCCTTTTTTTTCTTGATGCTTCTTTTCCCCAAAATCATCATGATTTGATCATTCACTAACTTAGCTTGTATGTAAATCTTTTGCAGAGTGTGGCTTATGATAGGTCAAGTGCTCCTAAAGACTGCGTGGTCTCTGCATGGTTTGAAGAATCTGAGGTGCCCGAACATCATCAAGTCTTGACCAAGTTCTCCTATGATCTCGAAAAGACCAGTGCGCAAACTTTTGATGTGGATACAACCATCAACAGCGTGGTCAATGTGGTTAGGTTTGAGTTCACGTCAAACCATGGAAACCCTTCTCTAACATGCATTTACCGCTTTAGGGTGCATGGCTATGAATATAATAAACCACACTTGGAAGATTCAAACTCTTTGGAGGAAGCAGAAAATGCTGGCCTACAATGAGAGTAGAACAAGTAACTCTTGGAGGTTCGAGCCTTCCATTTTGTAACATTAGACATGTCTTCTTGTATCCATTTGTGCCACAATTGATGGCTTTGGTATGGCGTGCTGGTTTATGTTCACTAGCCAATAGGCAGCTGATATGCTGGGATTGATGCCATGTATTTTTATGCACATTCATGGAGAACTGCAACTAGGTAGAATGTAGTTAATCAAGTGTTATGATATGATCCTGTGTTCCACGGTTGATATGAACTATCTCTTCGTGCTTTTATTTCCTTGTTAGGCGCAAGTTGAAGATTAGTAGTGCTGAATGTGTAAATTCAAAGAAAGATGAAATTTCGGCAAGATACTGCTCCTCAAGGTGCTTAGACTTCCAGACTGCAGATATCTGGAACTAGTTGGATGAAGGTGTGATGAAATCTGGAACTTTCAGGTTTTGGATTGGACGGTAGGTTATCTATGATGTAAATGCTTTTTTTTTTTTTTGTGGTCTTTAAATATGAAGGGTTGGAGTTAAAATTTTCTGTTGCAGGATAGTTAACCCTTTTGAGTTAATGCTGAAATCAATTGAGGAAGCATGGTTACTGTCACTTATAAAATGTCCAGTTAATGCTGATAGCACTTGTATATAGTGTAGATTAAACAAATCTTAGCGATTCTGATTTGCTCTACTACTAAATAATATCTACTTTTGAGTTTGAAAGAATACTCCATGAAAAATGATCCATCCTTAATTTAAACATAATATTACGACAAAAGTTATCTTGCGTTGCAGCATAGCACCCCAAGGTCCGTTAACTGCTCAGCTAAGAAAGTAGTGAAAATATTTTTCTGGTGCAACTCTGTACAACATTGGGGATGTAGCTCAAATGGTAGAGCGCTCGCTTTGCATGCGAGAGGTACAGGGTTCGATCCCCTGCATCTCCAAGTGATTCTTTCGAATTATGTGCTGCATATGTTGCTGACAACATATCTGTATTTTCCATTTTCCATTTTGTAGCCATTAATTGCCTTTTGCGGATAATATATCCGTATTTTGCTGGATACAACGCTCCAGATACAGCTGTATTTTTGCTGTACTATTGGGTTTGATCCCCTGCAAAACTTCCATTTTTATTTTTTTCCCCCTCAGCTACTACCATACCTTGCTTATCTAGGTTTTGGCTAGAGACCTGGGTATGAAATATTACCTCATGTTACTAAACAAGGAAAAAAGAAATCTTGCCTCAAATATTTGTGAGTCCATCATCCAACATACACTCCCAGTGATAATCATAGAGAACAACAAACTATTATTTTCTCCCCCGTGTAGAATCATGGGTGGGGATAACAACCCTACATCTTCTAGGCAGACGGGTTAGTTAAGAGTTATAAACCTTTACATTTGTTCGTATCCGAGTTATCTTATTATGATTGATTTGGTTTGGATTATGGATCAATAATTCCTTAACTCATTAATGCAATCTTAAATTAGTTTAAATTGCATGGATATTTGAAGGTACAAAGACTCTTGAGAGATTGTGGAGATATTCATGTAGGTTTAAAACAATTAACTGTATATACATACAAGAGCAATGATTTTAAAAGTTAAGATCAAAATCTAATAGCTTACTTTTTTTTCGTGAATTGCAAATATATTCATGTACTATGAAGATGTAGTCATTATACCACCAAAACTATTTTATTAGTAGTTACATCCCCTAAACTCGAGACGATGTTGCTCCTCATGTTTGAATGGTATGTCATATAAGGATCACATCAATATGTTAAATCATGTCACGGTTGAACTAAAAAAAACTAAATTGCCGTCTAATTTGAGGGTCATGAGGTATTAGTTCTGATAAAATAGTTTATTTAGGATCAAGAAGTAACATATAAATGCAGTTCAAAAAAAGAAGTAACTTAGAAATGAATGGTACGTGTAAGTACTAATAAAATAGTCCAGAACATAAATGTGATTACATCACTACAGTATGGAGGTGTATCTGCAGTTAACACCCAATCTTTGTATATCAAGTTAGCTCCCAACCTATACACAAAGCTAAATTTTAGCTCATCAAAATTATTCCTACACATTAACGCTTTGTTTGGGAGTTTACTAAGGGAAGGGACGGAAAGTTAAATAATGAAAACAAAAGGTAGAGAATGGAAGTGAAAAAATAAAATGTTGTTCAGAAGTTTAGTAAGGGGAACGGAAGTAAATTTGTTCTACATTGTTTGGGAGTTCTAATAAAGATGAGGGAAGTGAAATGAATAGGTATAAAGTTACATAAACACCCTTACATATTGAATGATAGTATATATTAGCCAATTATTTTAATATCATAAATGTATAATTGTCTTATTACATTGTAAAATTTTACATTGGTTTCCATTCCATCCTCTACCCCCCAAATTGGAGGGGAGGAAAATGAAATGAAATTTAACCTTCTATTACATCCTCTAACCCCTCAAAAAAACTCCCAAACAATGTGAAATTGAAATTTGACTTTAACTTCTTCCGTCGATTAACCTCCATTCAAACCAGGTATGAAAGCTCTAACCATCATAAAAAACAGTAATAAATATGAAGGAATCATGGACAGCTAATTTTTCAGACTTTTCTAGTCTGCTGGCTTTTTGGCACTGGTCTGTTCGACTTCGGCAAAGAAAATGAATGATGATGGCAAATAGGTACCTTTCTTTTTCCACTCATCCAACCGGCCAAAAAGCAGTGTACCAGTTGCTACTTTCCACTAATATTCTTTAATAAGGAAATAATAAAAGGATCTTCATCATGCCCTTAATTTACGTGCGGTTCAAAGTGTGACAACAAGATATATATGGTGAATTGGTTTATCTTATAGAATTATTAAATGGATGAATTTATTGTTGCATGATATTGCACCAAAATAACTAAAGTTTAAAACCCTACACTTGAATACCCTAAATTAGTTTCTAAAAAGTTGCTTGTAGTACTCTAATTAGGATATTCAAGGGTACCTTAGCATATTGAAGTGTAACTTTTAAAAAAAAATTTAGAATATTTTAGCGGAGGGTTTTAAACTCAGGATATTTTAGAGCAATATCAGACAAATGATAGGTATTTAAGTGTAATTTACCAGTAAGTTCACAAATATATATATATATATTCTCTTTAAGACAAGGCAATGGGAGAACTCCCTTATGGTAAAGGGAAAGAAGGTAAAAGACCAATTTAACATATAGTTTATGTGCAAAATCCTCTAAACTTGGGGTTTTTGTGAAATTAACCCTTTTTTATCCATCACAATCTATCTTCCATGTTAAACTAGTTTTTTTTTCCTTTTTATATGTACCAGTCACGGGGTCTCGGATCCAAAATAATAGTGGAGCAACCATTATTTTATTACAATAATTGATTATCTAACGCATATTTATAATTTTTTCTTTTTGAAGGCAAATTGGTAATGAGTGAAATTCATAGAATTATGGTGTGTGTTAATTTAGGCTTGGTTTGGTAGGGGGTTTTAGCAAGGAGAGTGACGGGCGGTGGAACTTTTTTCTAGTTTATTTTGTCTCCTCTTGTATCCTCACAATATGGGGGATTCTTCTCTCTCTAAATTTTAAGTTTATTTTATGATGTACTTGTTAGATTTATTTCTTATTATAAGTGAATTTTTCAAACTTATAGTGTAAATAAATTCTTAAATAATCTTCCATAAGATTCGACTGAAATGTTAGTTTGGACATTTTAGTTGTGGGCAGTAGACTATGATTATCGGGATGAGTTGTAATGGATGTTGTTGTCTACCTCAGAGCTGGCATTGAGGTAGAATACATTTTTGGGCTTCTGGACTTAAGTGAAAATTAGCTTCATAAATGCAGCAATTTAATTGGATCATAATTGAAGATAACTCCAAATATTATTGAGCTCATATTAAAGGATGTTAAGCATAGTTTTAATGATATTATCAATAAAGCTATTGAATATAGTTTGGTAATAATATCATTAAAAAACTATTAAATAAAGGCTATTAAGGGAAGGCTCTTAATCTAATCTAATCTAATACTATTATAAAAGTGTGTTGCCATGTTAAAACATTTCTTCCAAAAATACCCTTGGAAACACATACATGCATACATCTCTAGCACATCCGTACATGCATACATTAAGATATATACATACTTAATTTTTCATAATCTCCCTATTTATTAGCATCAAATTTTTATTTAACCACCCACTAATAACATTCCCCCACTAAGTCTTGACATTACACACTAATAATAAAAAACGTTATAACTATTCATCTTCCATAAATCACTATAAATTACTATTATAACATTTCCCCACTAAGTCTTGACATTACACACTAATAATGAAAAGTGTTACAACTATTCATCTTCCATAAATCACTATAAATTACTATAGAATCTTATCAATTTTCTCTAACCAAAATTCTAACTTTTAATCAAAATTTATTCATAATGAAAAGCAAGGAGACACATCTACATCACTTACAAACCGCAAGAAGTGTGAGTGTGTCAATGGTAACATCACTGGTGGAGTATAATCGAATTGAATGAGGAGATGGTAATGGAAGCATCGGTGTAACAATTTAGAGAGCAGAGAAAAAACTGGTGAAGCTGACAAAAAAGGCGGTCCTGTATTTTATCAAAATCTACAGCTATTTCAGTTATAAACTAATTGGTTTTTCCCCCTTCCATCTTCGTATATGTTTTTGCCTTAGCATGTAAATTGGTTTCCAACTCCTAGGCATGTTTGTAAATATGCTAAATTGTTTGTATAGTTTGGATATACTATACTTTATGCACTATACTACCATGGATATACTATATAGAACCAAATAGAACCAAAAGAATTTAGAACCAACGCACATGCACTATACTAATACTTTACACAATTCATTATTTAATAACTTGAAGATCCATGGTAGTATAGTGCATAAAGTAGTATATAATAAAGATTAGGTGCACTATTTTAAGATTAAAAAAATTGTATCTTTTGGGTATTCCATGATTTGTCAATGTTCACAAAATAACCCTGAATTTTTCCCCAAACAACCATGGATCTTCATAATTTTCACAAAGACCATTGAAATTCCATATATTTATAGAAAAATACTGAAATTTCATAATTTTTTACAGATAAACCCCTATATAGGTCAAAACTTAAATCTTAAGAAGATTGAAAGAAGTATATGATCTAATTTGTAAGAAAATTATAAATAAGTCCTCAAATGTTGTTATAATTACATTCAAAATGAAACTCT